CGACAGGGTAAGGCAAAAAGTGACGAGTTTACTCAACTTATACAGCGTGGTTCGAACCGTTTTCAAAAACGGTTTTCACGTATTTCAAGAAGCAAAAAATAAAATGAAAATAAAACGACATTTGTTTAGCAAATGTTTTGAAAACGAAAACGAAAACGAAAACAGTGAGAATGATTTTTGTGAATGAATTAGAAAACAATTGTAAATTGTTTTCACTTTTCTGTTTTCATTTTTTAGTACTTATCAACAATATTAATAAACACAATTTCACTTTTTTTATTATACTCAAAACAATCTCTTAAAAAACCAACCAAACTCAATTTCAGAATCGGTCCCAGAATAAATTTCAAAACAATCTCATTTTTACTTTTTATTGAAAACAAAATCATTTTGAAACTAATTCCAAATGCACCCTATAGTTTCTAGTTTTTTCATTTTTCGTGAGAATTATCATTTTTCTGTTTCCATCACAGGTACTTGCAAAAGAACAGATTGAGCAACTTACCGCTCAGGCATGGCTTTCAGAGAATAAACAGCTTGAGGATAAGGTTCGTTGCCTGGTACAGCGTGTTTCGAACCGTTTTCAAAAACGGTTTTCACAAGAAGCAAAAAATAAAATGAAAATGAAACGACATTTGTTTAGCAAATGTTTTGAAAACGAAAAAGAAAACGAAAACAGTGAGAATGATTTTTGTGAATGAATTAGAAAATAATTGTAAATTGTTTTCACTTTTCTGTTTTCATTTTTTAGTACTAATCAACAATATTAATAAACACAATTTCACTTTTTTTATTATACTCAAAACAATATCTTAAAAAACCAACCAAACTCAATTTCAGAATCGGTCCCAGAATAAATTTCAAAACAATCTCATTTTTACTTTTTATTATTGAAAACAAAATCATTTTGAAACTAATTCCAAATGCACCCTATAGTTTCTAGTTTTTTCATTTTTCGTGAGAATTATCATTTTTCTGTTTCCATCACAGGTACTTGCAAAAGAACAGATTGAGCAACTTACCGCTCAGGCATGGCTTTCAGAGAATAAACAGCTTGAGGATAAGGTTCGTTGCCTGGTTCTATTAGCAACTCTCAAGCTAAACTGTAGGCGTAATATCGTAAACAAATTTGAAGGCCTGCAAAGGCTTGTGGAAAAATTTCAACAGTTTTTTCAATCTGATATTATGAATAGGAGGTTCATTACTTCATCCCAATGACTTCGCTATCCCAAATCACTAACAAGATGCATTGTTGGTACCTTTGTTTTTTCCTTTTGGCAGACTGCAAAAATGAGCTTACGGACCGGGGTGGTCTGCGAGTATACACGCATGACTGTACTTGAGACGGCAGGAAAGCAAATACTAGGCGGGCTACAAGAGGTATACATATCCTTAATAAGATCTAGGAGTGCTACTACACTCGTGCATTGTTTTGAATAGAAAAGGATAAGCTAGGGAGAGAAATGTAGTGACGGTTTTATTATCATCATAAAACTGCCTTCTGATGAATCATCTAAAAACAAAACAACAGGTACCACAGAAGGGTCGTCCGCAAAAGACGGCAGATGCTTTAAGAGAGAGAGTGATACCGCTACAAAGCCTGTGTGTGGGCTTTGGCAACTTGACTGCCACTGCTGATAACATTCCTCCAGGATGTGAAGAACCAAGACTGGCTGAAGCTGCTGAAATCTTCATGAAGGCGGCTTCAAATTGTTGTGGCAGCATTTTCAGGCACTGCTGCTGTATGTGTTGCATCCAGTGTTGTTCCCACATGAACAACCAATGCGCAATTGTATTAACCCAGATATGCACTGGGCTAGCAATTTTCGGCTGCCTCAATTGTTGTGTAGACTTGTGCTGTTCCAACAGCGATGGACGATAGAAACTTGTGTATCAAATTTTATAGTCCGTAACAAATTGTTTCTACAGTGTATTAAGAGATACTTGATGAAAAGTTGAGGTTTTGTTCTACTAGTTCGTTTGTTCTCTTGGAATGAATTTGGTTCAACACGTGTATAATCTTCACTGTCAAAATAACCTACAGTTCTAAGGAATGTGAGTTTCACATGTAAGATTTTCTTCATATTGCTCGACTCTCAACTCTGACTCGTCTACTTCTTTGTCTGAGCTAACTGATTTGCGGTGGAAGGTTTCTTGAATCTTTGTCACTCCCTTCTCCACAGGACCCATTGCTTGGTTTATGGTCAACACAACATCCTTGACAACCTGCCGATGATGGCGGTGAGACAGACATATAACCGAATAACAATGCAGCATATTCAAGAGGGAAAGAACTTACATGTTGACCTCCTTTAAGAACAATGTCCTGAACGCTTTCAGTGACACTAGTTCCGGGAGCTTCAACCTTTGTTTCTTGTTTCTCAAGCACAGCTGGGGTGTCACCTTCTAACTTCACTTCTCCTTTGGTCCTTTCAGTGGTGACTTTTCCATACTCACTGGCAGGGATGTAGTGATAAGGTTCCGCCGAAAAGACAAACACATGAGCAACAGCTGCTATAGCCATCTGCCAAACCATTAGACACAAACCTGCATCATTAGGACTTCAGGAATAAAGTAAAATAACATCGGGGATCTTGCAGATTTCATCGTTAATCCTGATCATAAAAAAAAAAGTAGCTCCAAATTGCCTCGTAAATTTGTAGTGACACAGGACAAGTGCATGTGCTTTGAGAAACAGAGTTGGTAAAGACTTCGTTCAAAGAAACCTCTTACTTCTATGCAAATTAAGAAATCTTGTAATGCAGTCTGTAATTTCCCCTCTTTCGGTATAACTCCGAATTCATGCAACAGCGCGATGCCTAGACCTTGCCACCAAGTGGCAAACACAATGGCCTTGAAGCTGATGAACTTTGCAAGTGGCTTTATACATTGAAGTCTCTCGTGAGTTACATTGTAAAACTGCACAAGGCAATACAGTGCCCACATCTGGCTGAAGTTTAGTACTACTGCCATGTAAGGATACCTACAAAAAAAAATAAATAAATAGAATAAAAATGAGGACATAGTGCTTAATGCTCAACTCTGTCGAATTAGAGGAAGATGGGAAAATGCGACTCGAGTTTGAGTGTATATTTTTGTGGGATTATAATTTGGTAAATTGGAACGAACAGCTGAAAGGAGAAGTCAAAACGTTGGCTAAGAATGTTAAAATCATCTCATCTAATGGTATAAGAATGCATAAGATACGTACCCATAATACCACTTGAACTCTCCATCACCATAAACGCCAAAAATCTCCAACAAGAATGCTAAGAAGGCACACAATGTCTTCAGAATCATCTGTGCTATCCAGCAGATATCAGAAGTGAAGGAAAAAAAAAATGGAGAATTTATCCTTGCGAGTGCATGCAGCTAGACATTTACCCCTTATTCTTGATAAATACAATTTTATTAGTGTAATTATTTGACTAAAAAGGTTATGAATAAAAAATAAAAGATAAAAATCCTGACCCATGCACTTTTAAAAGGTATTTATCAAGATTACAAAAAAAAAAATGTGAATTCTGTGGTATGACTGTGAAGAAAGACTATGAGACACAATTTTGAACAATGAGGTCAAATTAGAATCATAACATATAGGAAAGGAACCCATATCTCTATCCATTTTGTCTGTCCATCCCTCTGTCTAACCAATTATTTACCGACATGTCATCCCCTCAACAAAAGGCACAAACAGGGCAAATAAACGGGATGCTCTGTTAATTTTGTTTTTATTTTTCTCTCTTAATAAATTTCTCAATTCCTTTGTATCATTTCCTTCCCTTTCTTCAATCTCAAACATTTTTTTTTTCAGGCTATCCTTGGGGTTCATGAAAATCTAATTATTCTTAACTGTCAAATCACACCTTGACACACCGTTCCTAATTTGATATGATTCTAGTGTAATGTAACGATCAAAACTGTACTTATCGGTAATCTTGTCTTTTTTTCATACTCTGCCAGAATTCTATGGGGAAAAAAAACTAACAAATGGAGAAGTGACTTACATATTGCACAAGACCAAATTTTTCTATTGTCATCAAATCTTTTCCAATAACATATGGTCGGAAGAAGAGGTTCCAAAGTGACTTATGTTGTTCAATGCGATTCTCACCTTCCTCTTCTAGCAATGGTTTGCTGAGCTGTTTTTTCGATTGATTTTCAAGTAGTTCTATCACACTACTTTCTCCACCTAGTATAGTAACAAATATAAAAGAATTCTTAACAAGAATCAAACAAAGTGTACCAAGTAAGATTACTATATATTCAATCCTTTTCAAATCTATGTGCAACTCAAGTTTCAACCATCAGATGAGACTTTAAAACGCTCTTATCTGTTGAATTATATTTTAGCTTTTATCAAGTGCAGTTGCTCCAATGACTCGTATCAAAAAAACAAAATGTATGTGCATACAAAAATTGGGATATATTTTAATTCTACTGGAACATGTCTTAGTAATTCTGGTTTCGGTAAAGAATTCGGAGTATGCTTTGAGCCGGTGAATAATAATGCTGTAATATACATTAACTAATGGTACCATGTCTTATAGACAAAACTTCGCATTTTAGAATTTTGTACTTTGTAGATATACCTTACTAAAGATGAATAAAACAATAACCACCATTTTAAAAAATGGAGAATTTACCCTTAAAAGTGTACGAGTCTAAATCTTTATCTCTTATTTTTTATAAATACCCTTTTGTTAGTGTAATTATTTAACTAAAAAGGTTATGAATAAGAGTAAAAGATAAAAATCATAGTACACTTTTAAGGGGTATTTGTCAAGATTATCCCAAACATTTTCTAAATCTAAGGCCCGTTTGAGTTGAAACCTTGAGTTAAACAATGAATTTACGCGATAGAAAATATTGTAACAAAAAAAAGTTAAATTTGATTTTTTTAGAGAAAAATCAGCAAAAACTCAAATTATAATTCGAACTAGAAACAGGGCATAAAGAAGTATAGGAGAGTGAGTTACCTAAACAAGCAACCAAATAGCTTCCAAAAGAATACAAGGCAAATGCTTCATAGCAGTTTCTTAAAATGTCACACGCAAGAGACAACTTCGGATTCCACAAGGATATAATCTGGGCAAGAAAAGGACCCAAATGAATATCTTTACTCATATGACCATTCTTTTGACAGTAAAATTAAAGAGAAAAACATGACAAATACTCTTTGCAAACAATAATAATAATTAAAAAAAAAGATAGAATCTTACTGACTCAGTGGCATAAACGGGTACCATGAAAACAACAGCAACAATCCATTTTTGTTCCTGAAACATAAATAATAAATAAATCACTATTTATGTGTGGACCTTGTGAAAAATAACAATATATGCTCTCAATTATCATATTTGTCAATGCATGTAATAACACACACACTAACCCAAAAAAAAAAAAAAAAAAAGTCTCTCCCCAACTTCTCTCAAAGAAGGGAAAAAAAAAAAAAAAAAAAAAGAAATCTATGAAGTACACACAAATACAATCCGATGGAGGGTCTAAAAGCAAAAACTAAAAAACCCCATATAAGATAATTTATTATACATACATGCATACATAGATATACATATATATATATACGTAGATATACATATATACATATGAAAAACTAACCGCGGGATTGGTGTAGGATCTGAGATGTTGGAGAATAAGGAAAATAGAAAGTGAGAATGCCACAACGACGAAACAGCCTGCTATTATGAGGCCTGGTTGCTGGAGATCTCTATAGAAGCTCTCAGAATCCGAAATTCGATTTATTTCCATTTCAAGTTTGGTCTATCTAAATTGCAAAAACAATTGACAATGAATTATGAGTTTGTTTCCCTTATGACAAGGTTTTGCAGCTCTACATAAGCTAGCATGGAAATTCGACACGTGTCCAACTGTAAATTTATTCGTCAGTTTCGTGACACGTAGGTTGTTAGGAGGGCAGTTAGTTTCCTGAGCCACTGAGGAAATGCCTCGGGACAAGTGTATACTAGATTTATATTACACTGTCCGCAAAGAGTGATACGTGGATCAGCAAGCGGAAAGGCCCAATTTTTTTGCCCATTTTGTTTGTAGCTACTACAGGGCCTAACTTTTGAAAGCCCAGCCATTATCTGATGTGTGATGTGGAGCGGTTGAAACGTCCATCAAATGGAAAATAAAATAATTGTTTTTATTTTTGTTTTTCATGTTTTTTTTTTTGTAAATAAAAATAATTTTAAAATAACGTTTGATATAATTAAAGATAAAAAATGAAAATAAAAAATAAGAGAGAAATAAAAAACAAGTCGTTTTTTATTTTTTATTTTTATTTTCTCCTCTCTCGAGCAGAGAGATATTAATAGATTATTTTATACTGAAAACAATCTTTTGATAAAACAACCAAATGTATTTTTAAATTTGAATTATGTCTGAGATTGAAAATGTTTTCATTTTTATTTTCATACAAAAAATAAAATCATTTTAGAACGAGTTCCAAACGTGCTCATGATTCTTCTTTTTCATGATTGTCGTTTTAATAGTTGATGCTATTTTTTGGATGATCATTAGTTTCTCATGTTACTGTGGTTTTGTAAGTTGCTGTCGTTTATCTAGCTACTAATCACGTTTTCCAGTTATTGTTATCTTTCAAGTTGATGTCGTTTCTTCGAACACGATATCGTTTTTTACGGTTATTATATTTCTTTCTGATGTATAGTTTCTTATAATAGTTGTAATTTTGACATGTTGGGTCGTTTTCGAATTTTTATCGTTTCGTGATAAATTGTTGTTTCTCGAAATTAATTTTGTCGTTTTTTTAAAGTTATCTCGTTTTCCTGTGATTGTTATCTTTCAAGTGGATGTCGTTTCTTCAAACACGATATCGTTTTTTACGGTTATTGTATTTCTTTCTGATGTATAGTTTCTTATAATAGTCGTCATTTTGAGATGTTATGTCGTTTTTGAATTTTTTTCGTTTCGTGAAAATTGTTGTTTGTTGAAGTTAACTTTGTCGTTTTTACAACATTATTCAGAGGTAGAAACTTTTATTTTTTTTTAAGAATAGAGATAGAAACTAAAGACGAAGGTTTTTGTTTTTGTTTTTGTTTTGATTTTTGTTTTTGTTTTTGTTTTTTGTGTTTTTGTTTTTTGTTTTTTTGCTTAAGAAATCGTTTGATGACTTAAAACATACCAATTTGATTGATAAGAACAAATTCTCAACAGATTGGCACAAGACTCCCCAGTCCTCATTTGGAATTCAAGCTGCCAATAATATAGAGTTAACTTGCTATTACTGTATTACCCAAGTGGGGTATATTTATTGTAATGATAAGTTTAGATAATAATATTTTAATTTTTTTTTATGATGGATAGTTTCCATTTTAGGGAATATTGCCATAAATGGAATTGATGTCACGTGGTTTGGTATATATTTACATGATTTCTTGGTTGAAGGGTGTTCTTGTACGTGGAGACCCTCTTACATCTCGAGGAATTCACTTGGAGAACTCATATATGTACTACTGTATGCGTCTATACATACACAAGTACATATGTATATATCTCAAAAATGGTTTTGGAAGTTCAACAGGAGACGACGTGACAATATATAAATGATATTTTATTCTTGGTCGAATATAAAAGTTACATATTAGCTAATCTTGTAGAAAATAGACACTTGGAAGGTCATCTCTCGCAATAGATCTCCGTACGGATTATGACCATTCTGGTCTGGGTGGCATTTGAAAGAGTTTTTATGTCAATATATATATATATATAGTTCATTCGTTTATGGACCACTAATTTCTAAGTCTTATATGCTGCAGGATCTTGAACAAAATTACATAAAATTTCTCACACAGAAATTCCCAATATATCAAATGGCATCATGTGTAAATGTTGCTATGTCTTGGTTTTGTTGAAAGTAGTGCAAATTGCTCATGATAATTTTATTTATTTATTTTTTGTTGAGAAACATTAGCGCGTTTGGAACTCGTTTTAAAATTATTTTATTTTTTTGTATAAAAATAAAAATGAAAACGTTTTCAATCTTAGACAGAAATTATTTTTAAAAATGTATTTGGTAGTTTTATCAAGAGATTATTTTCAGTATAAAAAAATCCATTAATGTATCTCTCTCTAGAGGAGAAAACGAAAAAAAAAAAAAAAAACGATTAAAAGTCGTTTTTCATTTCTCTGTCATTTTACACTAAACTAACAAATCATTTTTATTTATATTTTTTGTCTTTATTGCGTCAAACACCGTTTTGAAAACGTTTTAATTTTTTCTTTTCTCAAAAAACATATCAATTCCAAACATGGCCTATGTTTTTTTTTTTTTTTCTAGGTACTTAACATGATTAAATATTAGTCATATGATGAAATCTCACATGGATATGAGAAAACTCCCTTTAACTTTTAAGACAAGAGACAGCTGCATGGAAGAAACAAAAGGAGATTCAGTATCTAATAAACATCTATGCGAATGATCATTTTATTGTACTTTTTTTCTTGTGACACATTGGTCAAACTTCTTTGAGACAGATGTTGGTCGGACATAGTCCGGTGAATAGTGATCGCAACGGCATGACCAACACGTGGCGCAACCCTCCCACATTCCTCAAGCGATTTTGCCGGTTAACCAGCTCAGGCAAACTGAGTTTTCTACTACATTGGCTTGGACGCCCATATGGACATGTGAATGGACAACTTCACGTGAATGCATGGTTGGTATATATGGAAGGCCACGAAGCATGAGAGAGTATAGGCCAAGCCACATATTTTAGGGAATTGGTGAAAGATGGACTAAATATTGTCTCTTTACAAATTTATATGTATTTCACTAAATACTTTCACGGGGGCTTATTCGGGTGCAAGTGTCTAAGGAAATCTTTAAGGAAAGAGAGCAATGTTACGAGGCACCAGTGGTGCTTAACACCATCTACTAATAAAAGATAAGTCTCGCAGTGTAAGATTCATAAATGAGACTCATTTTCTATTAGTGATGGTGCTTAATACTGATGGTGTATCTAAGTATTTTTTTTGTGAGATATATTAAGAATTTTGAAAATTTAATAGGAGGGGTTAGAGTTATTCTGAAATTACACCTGAGTTCTCTATTAGTTATCACCCATTATTTACACCACTCCGCGAAATCTAGGTAACAATTTAATCGCACGACCAATATGCTACATTAACATCAATAGTCTACCATATTTATATTACCTTTTCAACACATATCACAGTTTCTCTTCAATGTCGAGTCGTCCGAGTAATCTACTAAATTAACATCGGTAATCTATCAAATTGTGTCGCGTTTTCTTTACACAAATCACGTATCAAATTGTGTCGAGATATTATTATATGATCAAGTTTCCACAAGAACTTGGAAATTAGTACCATATAGGCAATAGCACAATTACACACACACATATATATATATATATAATATATTATGTCGGTGAAATAATACTTCGCCAATTGAGCTCTAGATTGTGGGGTCTGTTGGAGTCTAAGGCCGCCAATCAAGTTTGTGTAGTTGGGGATATAATAGTGAGATTGAGTTGGTGAGTGATGGTTCGGTTGGCAAGGGACATGCCCTCAGGAAGTACTGTATGGGCCGTATATTATAATCATTAAAATAAACTTTCTACATTTAATTCTGATTTATTTATTTTATTTATTTATTTTTTTTATCTGCGTCTAAGTACTCTATTTACCTGTCAATATATGCCAAGGTTAGAAAGAGTTGAAACGACAATGAAGAGATACAAGCTGGATCTGTGTAAACTTTGAGGAACTTCTTCAGAAATTAATAGCTAACGCTAAGGTTCAAACTTTCAAGGACCATGAGTTCCTATTGTTTTGCTAGTTTAAGAAAAAATGATTTATATGCAATTTTTTTTTAATTTATTTCTGCATCAATAGAGTGATAGAGTGCTAAGATCATATCTTTCTTTCTTCTCTTCTCGGAGTGCATTGGATTCGATAGCTTTATTAGGGGTGTGTTTGGTAGATGGATTCAGAATCATGATTCTAGATCCTAATTCAGAATGTTTGTTTATAGTAATTTTGAATTATGATTCAAAATAGTGTTTGATTTGGATGATTTTGAATCATAATTCAGAATTTGATATGATGTTTTAAACTAGTTTAAATCATGATTCTAAAACCACCAACTTCTTGATTCAAGGTGATTCAAACTCCTAATTTTGAATCATAATTTTAGAATCATAATTTGAACTCAAAATCATCGTACTAAACGAACTCTAATTTTCTTACCGGAACAATTTGTTATATTAGTAATGTCATATCCATATTATAAGTGAAATTGAACTCGGCCTTCAAGAAAAATTGGATCAAATCCTTTATGTTCTATGGTGGATTGTGACTGAGGATAGAGGACGGGATCGCGCCAACATTTATGATCTCCCTTTTTTTTTTTTTTTTTTAATTAAAAGTTTTAGTGGGGAAAGACAAAAGAGAGAATTGGGAAAAATAAAGGACAAGGATGAGAGAGAGAGAGAGGCGACAAAGTTTTTGTGGGAACTTGTAGCATAGGCAATAACCAGCTTGGCATTAGACATTTTCTCACATAACACTTTTCTATTAGTCTATTTAAAGCATTTCGCTGCTCAATCCTCACAGGCTTATGAGATCTTTGTATTGCAATATACTCACGATTCCTTAAAGCCCACCATATATAGAATATTTATCCTTTTAATTTCGAGCTATATATCTATCTTTATTCAATAAAAGCAAGTACTAGTACTACTTGATACGATCCCACTCAAGATGAAGGTACTTTTTGTTTGTGTTTTCCTTAATATATATATATATATATATATATATATATATTCTAAGAGACTAGATACTTCTGACGTTGGAAGTAAAGAAATTATGATTTCTGTACTTTGATTGCAGATATTTGGTTGGATGCAAAGCAAGCTTAAAAATGGCAGACATGACGAGAGCAGCCAGAAGCCAAACTCAAAACCAGTTAACCGTAAGAATATTAACGCTCATAATTGACCATTTTCCTTTTATTTATTTGTTTGGTTTATTGAGTACATGTGTATGTCAAATAGGCCATAAAACACATTACTATTTTGATCTACTCCAACAACTTCAAAAGAAAATCGATAGTTTAGACAATCTAGAAGTACTTTCACCAGTCTCATGATGGCTTTTGGCTTTCACTGACTATGAACGAAAAATACAACTGTCAACATTTATGACACAATCAATTTACAAATTCTGAGTAGTGTTGTGATCATTGCTAATTTCCACACATTCATAAGAATCATATACTTAACCATGCCAATAGCCATATATATATATATATATATATATTTCCTCAATGCATACTGTTTTTTTTTTTTTTTGATATTCTTATATTGCTTTAAGTTTGACTCAAATTTTTGAAGATGGGTATTTTCTTTAGGCCGAATGCGATTCTTACATTAATAAAAAAAAAAAAATGCAATTTTGAAGATGGATTTCGGTAGCAGCAAATATTAGATAAGGGAGAAAAGAGATTGGAAAAGTACACCATAAATTATGTTTTGCTCTTTGAATACTGCATGTGTACATATATGGGAAAAGATTGGAGGGGATCATGAATGCGTGATGATCTTTGTTGCATAGATTATGAGCCAATTTGTTAGTGATTTAAGAGACCCTAAAAGTCCTTGGCAAATAACACGATGCAAGTAGTGTGTTCAATAAAAGTATCCAAAAAATATTTTGCACAGATGTCGGTACAATTTTTACACTACTGTTCTTCTATTTCTCCTTTTGCTATAGTAAAAATAGAGCTTCTTTTAAAAGCAAATTAATTCTAAACTAAGTTTATGGGCCCGTTTAGTTCGCTGATTCGAGTTGAGATGTGATTTTATGTAAGCATTTTTTACTATAACAAAAAGTGGCAGAACCGGGCAAGGAGGAAGTGAATGAATGGCTTTACGGCTTGCTGAAAATAGGGACATTTGGAAAGAATGACTTAAAAGAAGAACTACAAGAGGTCAATTTGCAGGGAAATTCGCAATCTCCATCCGAAGACCATGACCAGGATCGGGTGTCTGACGAAGTTGGAAATCTGCGGGATGAGTTGAACTCATTACTGCATAAACAAGATGATCAGGAATCAGCTTCAGCCACAGAACTAGAACAAGTTCTACTCCACAGACAATCAAGCTTGGAAACCGAAAGATTCGCAGGCAACGACACGCAATGTTGTAACGAGTCTAGTAACAAAAGTGGTTCTCTGCGGCGCAGGACTAGCTTAGTCCTCAGCAGAGGGAAACAAGTTTCGATGGACAACGCGAAAAACGCAATTGGCAAGAAGTCATTCTCTTTTCTTCTCAAGAAGGTCTTTGTTTGTGGAAGTGGATTTCCATTTGGTCCCAGTCCAAAAGCTCCAATTCCGGAATCTATAATGGAAATGGTAAACTCATCTAAATACATGCACATTCATAAATTTGAATGAAGACTATGTATTACTTTCAAACTGTGATATATATACATATATATATATATATATATATATAGCTTCTTTGCCTTTACTTGGTTAATGCTAACAGATACTTAGAGCAATGCTACACAAGAAAATATATCCCCAAAGTTCAAGTCCATCCTTGTCTGCAAAGAAGTATTTGGAGAATGGACATATTCCCAAGTCCAAAGAGGATGACATAACTGAGAAGGCAGACAAAGGAAGTAAATGGGTCAAAACTGATTCAGAATGTAAGAACATATAACCTTCATTAATTTTTAGTTTTGAATTGTTCTGTTTTCAAAGAAAGCTCTAAAGTCTAAACCTTACTCATAGTTAAAATGATCATAAGTAAATGAGGAAAGGAGAAGTTAAAAATCCAAAGTACATTGGTATTCGTGCAAAGTACTTTTTGATACTTTTACCAAACACACTACTTGCATCATCGTATCTGTAAAAGAATTTCGGGTCTTCAAAAATAATATCAAATTGGCCCTAAGTAGCTATGTTATGCATTTAGCCATTTACATGATATAGGCCAAGTTATATTTGTGCTATTATTCTTTTTTCCTTGAGGTAGAAGGTGTTTAATGGTTGAGGTGATTTCAAGAAAGTTGATCAAATCATGATTTTCTTTGATTGTAGATATTGTTTTGGAGATTTAAATTGACTCTACATCATCAGATTTTGGAGAATACAGGGTAAGACTACTCCCAAAATCTTTTAGCGAAGAGAATAACCATAAATCCATTCAAATAATTTCTTACTAATCTAATGATTTCATATTATACATGCAGGGAAATTTTCTGTCTTGAAGTAGAAATTTAGATAGTTGGAGCTAATCATTGCAGTTTCACATCCTTTTAGCACAGAAAGTGCCCCGAAAATTGATGTGCTAAAGAGTTCATACGATAAAGAAATCTCAATATTGTGAGGGGGGTTTTTCTCTTGCTTTGCAACGGCATTTCATATGTCGCAAAATTTTTTATAATAAATTGTACACCAGAATTTTAAGCTCATGACAATCTAATTTCTAAATGCAAATAATAATCTTCTAATATATCTGCGTAGAAACAACTTTTCTTTGTAATGAGAATAAATAAAGTTTTAACTTTTCTGCATAATGTGTTATGAGCAATGCATCGGTAACCATGCTACCATTGTACTATAGAGTATAGACTCTGTAGTAAAACAAACAAGCCGTGGGATTTTCTTTTTTTTTTTTTAAATTTGGAGTGGGGAAATTTGAATTCTACAGTGTTGGAGCAATTTTCTGTTGTAACCCTAAATGAAAAACAAATACAGTCTCGTTCATTTTATCGATTCGAGTTTAAAATTAAAATTTTGTTACAGTAAAAAGCTTTCAGAAATAGTCACATTTAACTTTTTTATTATAGTAAAAAATTCTCACATAAAATCACAATTCAACTCGAATTAAAAACTCGAATCAACAAACTAAACGGGCCCTAAATTTTCAATTCCAAACACTCAAAGATTTTGTATTCTAATGAAATTTTGAATTGGATTTTATGGTTGCCCTCTCAAGAATCAAGAGGACAGAGTCTCGGTGTTTGAAAAGGAAAAGTCCTCACTTTCTTCGTCCCCTCCTCTATTTATAGGCTTTCACTTGAATCTAGGTAGGTCATAAAATACTAATCTAAACCATTCGATTAAATAAGGAAAATAGTATAAAATAGACTAATATGAAAAACTTAAGAAAGTATATAGGTCAATTTTTAGTTATAGAAATTAATAGGTCATAACTTGTCAAGTTATGGTTCATAATCAGATAAATTATGGACAAATTTGTCAAGTTGTGGTTCATAATCAGACAAGTTATGAATAAAAACCGTAAATTATGGATAATAACTTGTCAAGTTATGGTTCATAACCAGACAAGTTATGGACGAAAACAGTAATTTAATCTATTTATTAACTTATATAAACTATTAACCTATTAATTTTAATTTATCTAAAGTATTAGATCTATTTCTCACTTTCTCCAGTTAAATAATTATGATAATTCTTGCTCGGTCTGCCAATTCAATTGGAACTTCCGTACTGACCTTTTTTATGGGCTCAGTTGATTCACTTAAGCCCATTCGCTCTCAACTTTATCCTCTAATCTAGACCATTTAGTTAAACAATTCTGATAATACTTGGGTAACTATAAAAGGAATTTTGTTTTATTTTTATTAATTTTGAAAATTTTGTAACAAAGTATGAAAAAATATGCACCAGTTAAATTTTCATTAAAATGTTTTTAATCCAATATGATTGTGACAATTAATAATTATGTCTTAACAATTTTTATTACCTATCATAGAAGTCTTTCTCTCTATTTGTTTTCTAAAGAAAAAAAAGTATAATTATGTAGACTAGACAATGGTGCCAAATACTAACGATTTTTTTTTTTTTGGGATTTGGAACGGTAGTAAGGAGTTGCTACTAGTTGCAAGGATTACAAAAACTAAAGTGCTCCTGTTTGTCCCAAAACAAAATCCATATTGTAAATAAATAAAAAAACTGCAAAAGGAGATTAAAAGAGTTATGCCACTTTTTCTTAAATGCATGATTTTGTTTTTTTCTTTTATAATTAAATAAAAAGGAGCATAATTCCTACAAGAAAGCACAAACTGAAGATGATTAGCAAAAAGCACAAACTGAAGATGAAAATTGATTGAGCACATATCCTATTTAATAAAAAATACAGAAATAGTAGAAAATAGACCAATATGAAAAGCTTAAGGAAGTATATAGGTCAATTTTTAGTTATAGAAATTAATAGGCCATAATTTGTCAAGTTATGATTTATAACCAGATAAGTTATGGACAAACTTGTCAAGTTATGGTTCATAGCTAGACAAGTTATGGATAAAAATTGTTATTTATGAACAATAACTTGTCAAGTTATGGTTCATAACCAGACAAGTTATGGACAAAAACAGTAATTTGGCCTATTTATTAACTTATGTAAACTATTAATTTATTAATTTTAATTCATCTCAAATCTTAACATATTTTTCTCTTTCTCCTTAAAAAATATATATTAAAAAAGTACGACAATCAACCTTTTAGCACATTCTTTGCAATCCCATCAAATCTTTTGAGAAATTTCTTTTTTTGGGTAGAACTACAAGGTCAAAATAGAAGTGGGGGCAACCACAAGAATAAATAAGTAGATATTTGATTCATGAATTTAAAATTATAATTTAGAATTATTTTTAATTTATGTGTGTTTTTTATGAGAGAAAATACTATAACGAATTACGAATTATAATTTAAATCATAACAAGTAGTGGCTAGGTGAGACCCACCGGTGTATTTTAGTTTCCACATTTGTCATCCTCAGAGAGCCCCTCAATCACATCACATTCATTCCTTACTCCAGAAAGAGAGAGAGAGAGAGAACAAATAAAGATTGAATCTTTTTCGTGCAAAGCCATTGATTGATGCAAAATATCCAAACCGAAGTCACAATCTTCTCAAAGTTGAGTAGCCAATGCGATTGGAGAATGTTTTTTTGAGCACTTTTGGTTGGTTTTCAGAGTGCACAAATAGCAGAATTTGCTTAGCTCTACCTCATCATGTCTTGGGCTGCCTCACAAGATATTTTCCTTTCCGCTTCTCTCGCAACCTATCTTGACAGTACTTTTCTCCTCTCTCTATATCTCCATTTTTTCTTCTTGGAAAATATTTCAAGACTTTGTTTTTATTGCATGTTTTTCTGTTTGAATGGTTTACATGATTATTTTCTTGTTGAATTGCTCTCTCTTTTGCCCTTTTTTTTTTGGTGGCTCTTAGATTGATTTCTCAAACCGAGTACTAAACGATCATTTGGTTTATTAAAAATCATTCTACAACACGTTTTCAAGTTATTTCTGATCGTGCGTTATATTGAAGAAAGATTTACTGTTGTTTCTCTGCACTGAGTTGATAAAGAAAACTCGATTCTGTTCTTTCTTTCTTTCTTTCTTTCTTTTTTCCTGTTATAGTGTTGCCAAGTTGATAAAGGGCTGGCATTTTTCCTTCTTCATTTCTTAAACAAAGAACAGTAGGAAAAAAGATACTATTGACGGTTAAAATGTTGAATGATGGAAAATACTTACTCAGAAAAAGCATATCTGAGAGCTATATATATATATATATATATATATATAAAGTTTGGTGTTTGCAATCATATAATCAAATTGATAAGATTCGAATTATCAGTTTCAACCATACCGCAACCAATAAAAGTTTTTTTCCCCATAAATTTCATTGCACTTGAAATATATATATATATATATATATTGAATGGTTACGTTTCTGTTACTATTAAATATGAAAATTTAATATTCATTAATTGTCATTAATTTTTTAATCAATTATTTAATTTATTACAACCGTCGGATTAATATCTTACGATTAAAATAACAATACCTATCGGTGAGTAAATATTCTTAAAATCACACCTATATATGTGTCTATATATATATATATATATTCACAAGTAACTCCTTGAATTTTCTGTAAACTGGTGTATTTTAGATTGTTGCATAGCTACAACAAATTTGGGTCATTATTAACATATTCTATTTTCTTCAGAGAGACTTTTTGTCTTGTTACTTGATGGAAGAATACTCATGGGTTTACTACGATCTTTTGATCGGTTTTGTAAGTGATTATTTCTATATAACATGTTCTTTTTTTCCCCCTACTCTTACTCTTTTGGCTTTTCATTCTTTTTTATTTTTTTAACCTTATTCATTGATTAACTTTTTTTTTTTCCCATGCACAGCCAATGTTATTCTTGAAAGAGCGTGTGAACGGATCATTGTTGGTGATCTTTACTGTGACATACCACTAGGTCTATATGTAAT